TCTCATTATTTTAGCAAACAGATGGTGATGCCGCTTTTGATATCCTCTTATGTATATGCGATAGCCTGAATACTAATTGATGAAACAGGTTGTTTTATTCTATAGTTAAGTTAAATGGGTTGTTCATTTAAATTTTAATGACTAGGAATCAATTTTTAGGCTATTTAAGCACAATTTGATAACAATCATAAATATTTACGTGTTTTCTACGGTGATGTGAGCATTCATAATCTGCTTGGTTAAAAACTTAGCTACATTTACTCTCATCATCATTACTACTGCATTGTTTCGATCTCAATTGAAATTCATGTTAAATGCATCTGGTCGTACCATTATAGTATAGCAACTTAGGAAATAGTATATCTGCTGTGGGATTTTTATTAATGATGTCTGGTTAACGAATTGATCCAATGTAGTTTATTAAAAAAATAATCAAAAGTGAGGAGACACATCAATGTAATGACATATTGTCTGATGAAATATACTTCATTTAAACCATGTCCAGATATATGTTGGGATCATAGACGAATCCACATAAACTATTATTAGAATTATGTAGCGACCAATTAATTTGTTTCTGGAACAAATAATTTGCAATCTTAGTTCCTCAGAAATTGGTTGACTGGGTGGTGAGATGACTGCATTCGTTTGTTAATGAACACAATGCCTGACAGACTGACTGAATAATACTTGGATGAATAAATGTTAGTATGGTTGTTTAACAGCTCATGTTATAGTTTTTGCGATATCATTGAGTTTACGTGTCCTTATTTTTTTGTAATTCTTTGTGCGTTTGTTATCATTTTCTAAATTGTCACCACATATATTTATTTAAAAATCCATATCGCTTTCTTCTGTGTTAAATAATTTTACTATGACTATTTGTTTCTTTTCTTATTTTCTTATTTACCTGATCATTATATTTTCGTCACTTTTCTTGGAGGTCGTGTTTTTGAACCAGTTTTGATTCATCCGACAATTCGCACGCGGAAATTCGATTTACATTTTTAGTAGTCAGAATTAATCGACAGACATATTTTCCGTTCTCTTTGTGCGCTATCATACAACCATCGGTTGCCAATATTATGCTAACGCAAGACTGGATACTGTATATTTACAATAAACATTATATTACAGTATACCACGTACCCAATTCACGACTAATATTTGAAAACAAGTGGAAAGACTAAATAATTCATTGTTCAACACAATCGCTCTTCGATTTCAGTCCAATTAAAAACCAATAATCTAACATAAATCATAAATCCAATAGTCAGTCACTTGCACCTGTAATTCTCACTTACTAGACAATCGCATATACTTTTCCTAGCTATTAATGATTTAAATCACTCATTTTACTAAGCATGATAGCATTTTATGTTTAAAGATTACGATTTTAGTGGATGAATTGTAAACGACTGATTGGAAAGTTTTTTATTAATAGCACATGTGGTCATAAATTCTGCAGTCATTTTCTGTCTAGATGATGCAAATTTCCTTAAAGCCTTCTGCCAATATTTCTTACATTTCGAGAGATTGATAAGAGAAGAGAGAAGGTTTTACGAAAATAATCGAAATGTTTATGTTGATCTTAGGGGATTTATTTAGCTATTAAAAAATTAATAAATAAAACGTCTGGATTATTAACTATGTGCTCAAAATCTATGATTTTAATGCAATTAAGTATCGGTCAATTGAAAATTATTCGGAACTTACGTGATGTTTTATAACCTATGGATGACTTATCCAACTGACTGGAAGTCAAGCTTCTTCTATTATTTAACTATTTCATATTTTTGAACCAGTTTTCTCGTAGGTTCACTGAAATTCGTTTTTTGAAATGTTTCAGGATATTGAATGTATCGCAATCTTTCGTACCGGATGACACACTTAGGACTTTATTCGGGAATTTTAATGATATATTACCTATTTCAAAAGTTAACTTTTTGATGGCTGTTTGTCAAGAGAAAAAAAATCAAGATAATTTTACCGTTGAAATTTTCGTCTGACAGAAAGGTCTATAGAAATAATGTCAACCCTTTAAAAGGCAATCAAACAGTTAATAAATGTTCCGCTTACACTTTCACTGAATAATCTTATCAACTTAAAACAGTTTGCATAAAAACATTTAAGTTTTTTGAGTGCTACAGTTTAAAAACGTGTTAAGCATGTTCGATGAGCTTCTTAATATCATTTTAGGTAGACTTGAACTATCAATGACAGTGGAGATTTTAACGGGAAATAAACAAACATATTGGAAATCAGAACTGTCTCAGAAATTTTCTGGACTTTATAATAGTACTGCTGAAAAGACCTGTAATTTGGTATGCATCCATATTTATTATTTCCATATTTTTATAACTTTAATTGGGAGAGACTGTTCATTGACACAAGCAAAGTTTAATAAAGTAGCGTTGTAGAAAAGCTTGTAATATCAGAAACCTGACGCAAACATTTGTGCTCAAGATGTAACTAAACTATTTTAATCATTCCAGAAAAACCTGCTTTGGTTCAAATAAAGTTAAGAATGAATGAATTGAATTTTAAAGGGAATGAATAAGTTATTTAGCTTAGACTTGTTGATTGCTCGTGATCTAACTCTGGTTTGGACGAACGACTAGATATGCTATGAAATAAATCTTTCCTTCGATTTCCGCACATCACGTTTAGGGGAACTCCGTTTGTTCGACGCCGTTATTAAAAGTTCACTACGGTTTTGCGGATGAATTTGTTTCATACGTTTGCGTAAGCGGAGTAACAACAAAAAGAAACGTTAAAGTGAAGCGAATTGAGGCGGAGAAGGCGAGTGAGTCAACTCGATGCTACGATGTATGACTAAGTATTTCTGTTTAAACAAAAATACGGCAGACGTGCAATAAGCGAAGTAAGTGCTGCGTATAGGCAGTCAGTTAAAAACAACCAGGGTTATAGGCGAATAAGTGACAAGGTTAAGAGAAAAGAATGGATTGATTAGTTTCTCCAAAGGCTGGAACAAGCCGTGTAGGTTCGACATACAAGTATATATATATATATATATATAACACCTTTTATGGAAGATAAATCCTCATCATTTCAGTGACCTAACTGGTTGTTTTATTTGTAATATTTTTTAAATATTGATGATAGACATATTCATCTAGAATTCATATATGAAAAATTCTACATGAATCAAGTTCATTCAGTAACTTTCTTCTTCACCTCATGAATTTAACAACTACAATCTTTTTAGACGATACCGTTGACAAGATTTATTTCAATGACAACTGATTTCACAAGAAAAACATCATGATTAAAATATGAAACGCCATATTTATGAGGTTCATTCAATGTTAGTGATTATTACTCTGCGTAAACCGATTCATAAATCAGGACTTTCCCAGACTGTTTGATACATGTATTACTCAAATACTTTCATATTCGACTTCTTATATCTACACTGTTATCCTAACTTCACATACGCTATGATTTAAGGGATGTTTTTTCGTAAACTTAGTCTCTTTTGGGATTGTTGATTTAGATATATAATTGTACAACTTGATGAGAATTTACTGAAAAGAATATTCTTCCTTCATATATCTGTGTTTTTATAGGATGGGAGTTTTTCAGATTACCGATATTTATCTACAAAATCCACACGAAGTAAAGTAGGATATGCATATTTTATTAGCATTATAATCTTCGGATCGCATTAAGCATAGGACATTCAAATATTTTTTGAATTCCGCTACCGATTATGTTATTTTTATTTATAATTACATCTTCGATGTACGTTAATATATACGAATTTATATCAAAAAAGTCTTTCAAATAAATTCTCATACAGTTTATCTATTCTATTTTTATTTTATATTTCTCTGTAGATAAAAGCCAGTCCTCAATTTATTACGTCAATAAAGTTCAGCATACCAAGTTGTAAAGTTCTTCGTTTTTATCCAGGTTCTGTCAAATCCGAAATACAGATAATTGTAGAATATATCAATGACCTCAATGTAACTCAAACACAAATTCTTCAAGCAATTGAATTAGGTTCACAGTTGTATGTAATGGATCAGTCGAAAAATCCGTCAATCGATCAAAATCAAATCATATCAATTAAGGGTAGGTTTATATCGTTAATAACTCACTAGTTATAGAAAGTAATATGTAACTACAAACAACATAAACAAAAGCGAAATGCATAATTTCGCAAGATTATTTTTCTTCGTTTCATGAATTTGTTGTACGCAGTATACATGCATATATTACTTTGACTAGTCATCCCCGACCGTAGCTGCTACATTGACGTGGTGATCAAGCTTGCCTATCGTGATAACCCAACTGAGCTCTATTGGTCGGAACACAGGTTCCTTTAGATTCTACCATGACAGGTAAGTCAATTGGCGAACGACAAGACTAAAAGCAGCTACTCAAGGTCTGAGGAAGAAATCGTACGGCTGACTTTAGAAGGGTGTGACAAAAGTAAGGTGTTGCCCTCTGTAAACCAACATCTGCAGCGATGCTGCCTTCTCACGATGGGAGGAGGGGGTTAGAAATGGTCGACCCTAAAAATGTCACCTCACCCTACCTCACGGATTTCCGTCTCCGGTGGTAAGGACTGCCCAATAAGGGCTTTCAAAAGAGCGGGGCTAATACTCAAAAAACCTTTCATAAAAATGCCGTGCGTGACCGGCCTCAAGCAGTTGCCCCTTAGGCTCTGCGGTCACGCTCACGGGTCTCTCAGACCGACACTAATCTACCTTCCTTTTCAGATTCCTCAAAAAACACCCTTTTACGGTGTGGGCAACCGTAAGTGACAACCGCCCTCATACCAGTAACAGCACACGAGACCTAATTAGTCAAAATCAAATCTTTCCAACACCACCTAATATCTCTCTTATATCCCTAACTAACTCTTCTCACATTCCTTCATCACAATTCACTGGTGACGGTCCAGTTTTAACAGTCAGATTGACTGAAATCTTAGGTAGGATCTGTGAACTGGGCGTAATACCATCTGACTGGTATCAATCACTGATTGTCTCAGTCTACAAAAAAGGACAAACGTCCTCTTGTAAGAATCACAGAGGAATAAGTCTAGCTAATGTGACCCCGCACCACAAACGGTAAGGGTAGAGGACATTCGTAGATTCCTTGTCTTCGATCGTAGGTCTCTCCAATGGATTGCTCGTATATCCTCAGACAGCCGGAGTAGCAATGCTATCGTTAGGAAACGAAAGTACTAGGTAGGGATAGCAAATCAACATATGAAATAATGAAAATACATCAGTTGAGGTGGTTGGGACATGTATTACATATGCCTAACTATCGACTGCCTCAACGAGCTATGTTTTGTGGTGTAGGAGTAGGTTGGAAGAAAGTTAAGCGAGGCCGAACCAAAACATGGCACAAATGCATGAAATCACTGACAAGTGGACTGAGTCATGTTGGGGTCAGTGAGATGTAAGTCACCAATGGTTAGAAACCTTGAACGACATGGCTCAAAATCGTTTGCAATGGCGCAAGTGCATCCACTGTTTGTGTTCTCTCAAATTCTAGCCTATTGGATTCCTCCTCCTCCCCATCATCTCTATCTTTCTCTTCCTAAATTTATCTCACTGAATTATACTTCTCGAATCATATCTTGGAACCCTAATCTTGTGCATTACTGCTAATACCTGTATTATCGCTATGACTATTGGATTTGAACTGACAGTTGCGTCTCTGTGCTAATGCTGTATGGCAACCTGAACCGATGTACGTACGTACGAAGTTGTATGTTGTATCTGTTTGTCTGTCTTGACTAGTCATCACTACCACTTGAAAATGCAATAATTTTGATGAAACCATACATAAATATTAATGTTTTAGTACAGAGATTATTTTAAAACAGCTTTAATATACAAGTAAATAAAGCGGAAACTAATAGTTTCCTTTAAATCTTGAAAGTGAGCTTATTTGTTAGGTAATGTAATAATAATAATATGCAATCATAATTGCATTTATATTCATTGAAGTGGTCAAGATTAAGTTTAATACTATGATACTATTAAAGCTTTAACACATACTACTGATATATTTATGAATATTTTTAGTTTAGAAATATTATACCTTTAAAAATGTGTGTTTATATTTTATTTGCTGTAATTGAGTAGGAAACAATGGTGTCCGCTTATATTTATAAGGAAACTAACATCTACAGTCAAATGTAAAGACAGATTAGCCAGTAAAAAACTATGTAATTTATCATTTGTTTCTCTAATATAACATAACTGATACTTCCTACAAACTTTTTACCATTACACGTATGTATGAATTATATAGTATTTAGGGTTGGTTTGTATTGCATAATCACCTAACTGTTCTTACTAAAAAAACCAATCGATTTTTCTTGATTAATTTATGTAGTGGTTACGCAAAAAGACACCTGTAGTACAATTTCAAGAAAATGTTCACCACATGCTCACTGTATTGAGAGATCTGATGGAGCTATTTGTATATGTAATCCAATGTGGACAGATTTAAATCCTGATCAACCCGGAGAACAGTGTATAAGTACGTTTAGTTTAGTTATAATTAACGTTTCACTTTCCTATCTTCAAAAAAAAAACATTCGGTAACTATAATAACAATTAATGTTATTTAAAATTAAAAATTGCAGAGTAAAATTTATGAACATAATGATGCTTATTAATAAAATAGTACATTATTATCCTACCCTAAATGATTTCTGAGTAGTCATTCAATAACATGTTGTTTTATCTTTATTACTTAAAAAGTTCCCAACCAGAGATCCCGGTAACATTTACATACTGTATTCATATAACTACATATCTAATCTGTAGTTGGTTAGCGATATATTTCTGTATATTTATTAGTTTTGAATAAAATTACTATGATATGCAAAACATGTTATTGATCTGTGAGACCAAAGTTCAAATTCTCATTGACCTCTAACATCGTTTTAATGAAGTACTAGGTGTTTTGCATTGATTGTATCAAAAATAAACGATAATCATCTTCCACAATATCACTGATAATTCTAGACTTCCTAACTAATTTAGTTATCAAATAATTCATTTGTATTGTACTATTCAATTCTGTTAACAAGTTATCGAATCACTTAATACTTATCATCTCATCCAAACTGTTATCAAACAGAAATAAGATCAAATTAAAAATTATTCTTAATGTACGATAAATAAAACTAAAACGATGATTGATCAATTGAATAATTTAGTCATACTGTTTACTTACTTACTTACTTACTGGTTGATTTATTCAGTAAAAAATGTGTTATAATATTAATCTTTTGCAATTATTTTAAATTCTTTTTTCTTTCAGTAAGTGCAGCCGTGATAGCGTTAATTGTTGTTGCAGCAGTCTTAATCATAATAGTATTTGCTGTAGGATTATTCTTTGCACTTCGTACAGGCAGCAATGGTCAACGCTTTATGTATTCATTTGCTTAGTAAATAAATAGAATTTTTATAATATTTATGCATGCTACACAACGAAATCACAAAAGAAAATGTAATCAGTGTGGAGTAATAATAAATGCTACTAATACAATTAAATTTGTATTGTTTAATTCAAAAAAGTATATATATATATATATATATATATATATATATCCCGTTTTGTCTGCACCAAATATAAATTAGGCCAATTTTCCTGTATAACATGATTTCTTCCAATGTTTGTTCATATTTCTGATTTTTCAACTAACCTATTATTGTATTCAGTAAAGAAAAACATGCTCTGTAATTTTACTTTCATTCTGTATGTACAGACCAATGTACTAGTAATATGTAATTGCTCTTGTATTATTATTTTTCATAGTTTTTTTGTTTTTTGATTATTTTTAAAATTAAGTGTTATTTTTTTTTGTGCTTATGAATATTATTGTTCTGTTTATTTATTTTTTCAATTAGTTATGCGACTTGAAATATAAAACATTTTCTCAATGATACGATATTTTATTGTATCAGTTCAGTTTTGATGTAAAAGATTAAGAATTACTAATTGAATGAACTTTTTAACACACAATGTTTTTCTCATAAACATACCAGAGTTTGATTTATACAGTGTTGAGTAATTCAGTATCGTCAATATACATGAACTCAATGTGTCTTAGAAGGAATCGGTATTGAAGAAAATTATGTTTTTTGGGGATTTCTTTTATCTCTTATGTGAAAATATAAACAATTAGCAAGTAAGTTTATCAAGATCGATCAAAATGGATTTTCCTTACAATTTCTGTGAATAAATAAGTGGTTATTTAAAATTAACTGTTTATTTAGAAAATATGTCTGAATGACTTTATAGAGTAAACAAGGAATTGCTAAATTTAAGACAAAATTTCATCAGCAATATAAAAATCCGTGTTGTAAAAAAAGCTGGTGTAAATCAAATAGTATGACAAAATTATCAGTTGCATTGTTGTAAAAAATTTGAATAAAAAAGTTCCTGTCAATAAAATAAAAAGGGGTGTAAACAACCGTTCATATATATCGATATATGCACAGTGAATAATATACACGACTATTTTGCAAAAAAAAATCTATTATTATATTTTAAATCATAAACCAAACTATCACTTAAAACTGAAGAATGAAAGACAACTCTTTCATTCTAGTATGAGACTGCTAAGTAGTGCACAACCATAATCCTGTTGCAAATGGAAACCAGAAAGTAGTTTCGTGTGAGAACGTCTAATTTTTAGTCCATCCGGGTAGTAGTTAATGGTGAACATTTATTACACATTTGAAATCATCGATCAATCATTGTTAGACCACCATTAGAAACCTGGAAGAACTGAACTGCCGTTTCGTCCTGGTATGGGACTCATCAGCAGTGCGCATCCAGGATTCGAACACGGGACCTTCGGTATTGTGCGCGAACGCCTAACCATTGGGCCGGCACCAAACGGTGTTAATGTCTAACCCTGATCGATCTAGGGATTTTGCGCCACCTCACCTCACGAAACGGCCGTCCAGTGCTTCCAGGTTTCTAATGGTGGTCTAACAATGATTTCAAATGTGTAAAAACACTAATTTCCATAACTCTAGTTGAGAACAATTATTAATCTAACCAGTTGGTAGTACTGAATGATCATTTTCCACTGCACGCTTGACTAGGTGAGTTCAGATGTGTTGGTTTAAATGGTTATCTACCGCAGATGATGGAAGGTGCAATATCGCGAAGTGATGTAAGTTATGCATGTACATTACTGAATCCAGGTTATGGTCTAGAAGTTAAGTGTTCATATGGGAGAACGAATGTCTCGAGTTCCATCCCTTGCAGTGAGATTGTGGATGATCACAGCTAAAGAGTTTTTTACACCAGGATAAGACAGCTGTCTAGTGCTTTTTGCTTTTCAGTGGTCGTTCAGCTAACATCGATTCGTAGTGATGACTAGTCAAGACAGACAGACAGATACAACACACAACTTCGTACGTATGTACATCAGTTCAGGTTGCCATACAGCATTAGCACAGAGACGCAACTGTCAGTTCAAATCCAATAGTCATAGCGATTATACAGGTATTAGCAGTAATGCAGAAGATTAGGGTTCCAACATATGATTCGAAAAGTATGATTCAGTGAGATAAATTTAGAAAGCGAAAGATAGAGATGATGATGAGGAATCGAATAGGTTAGAATTTGAGAGAACACAAGCAGTGGATGCACTTGCGCCATTGTAAACGATTTTGAGCCACATCGTTCAAGGTTTCTAACCATCGGCGACTTACATCTCGCTGACCCTAACATTACTCAGTCCACTTGTCAATGATTTCATGCATTTGTGCCATGTTTTGGTTTGGCCTCGCCTAACTTTCTTCCATCCTATACCTACACCAAAAAACATAACTCGTTGAGGCAGTCGATGGTTAGGCATATGTGATACATGTCCCAACCACCTAAACCGATGTATTTTCATTACTTCATATATTGATTTGCTATCCCTACCTAGTACACTCGTTTCCTAACGATAGCATTGCTATCCCGGCTGTCTGAGGATATACGAGCAATGCATCGGAGAGACGTATGATCGAAGGTAAGCAATCTACGAATGTCTTCTACCCTTATCGGCCATGATTCGTATCCATATACAAGGATGGAGCAAACTGTCGCACAGTATCCTCGTCCTTTGTCCTGTATGATACAATGCCCGTGCATTAAAAGCTTCAACATGTAGTGTGGAACGGGGTTTCAGGACACCAAGAATGACGTTTCGTGAACTCACATCGCTTACATCAGTGGTGCTGGGTCATAAAGGAATGTGAGTAGAGTTAATCCTGGAGATAAGACAGCTGTTAGAGTGTAGTAAGGATTTGGATTTGACTAATTAGGTCTCGTGTGCTGTTACGGGTATGAGGGCGGTTGTCACTTACGGTTGTTCACACCGTGGAAGGATGCTTCTTGAGGAACTTGAAAAGGAAGGTAGATTAGTGTCGGTCTGAGAGACCTGTGAGCGTGACCGCAGAGCCTAAGGGGCAACTGCTTCTGGTCGGTCACGCAAGGTCTTTTTATGAAAGGTTTTTTAACTATTAGCCCTTACTGGGCAGTCCTTACCACCGGAGATGGAAATTCAGGAGGCAGGGTGAGGTGACATTTTTAGGGTCGACCATTTCTAACCCGTTCCTCCCATCGTGATAAGGCAGCATCGCTGCAGATGCGGGTTGTCACACCCCTTTAAAGTCAGCTGTACGACTTCTCCCTCAGACCTTGGTTAGCTGTTTTTAGTCTCGTCGTTCTTTAATCGACCTTCCAGGAATGGTAGAACCTTCAGGAACATATGTTCCAACCAATATAGCTCAGTTGGGTCATGACGATAGGCAAATATCGTATCAAATAGATGATCCTTCAAACAACTGTTCTTAAAATATACTACTGTTAAGTGAATTTTAATAGGTAACTTATTTTAAAACTTTCTCTGTTCTTCACTTTTATGCTCTACGACATCTGTGAATTCTTAACTTTATTTTAACTAGAAATGAAAACTGAAGGTCAACATGAAAAGTATTCAATTTACAGATCATTAGTAACACATGATACTACATTTACACCATTCGTAAGACAAAAAAAAATGGATACACAAACATATGATTTAGTAAATTAAATCGATTGAAAGAAAGTCATCAATAAATTAATTAAATGTGTGCAGTCAGGTTAAGAAAATGAAATTAGAATTTTTGGAATAATCAATGTAGTAATTAACACGAAAAATTGAGACTGGTTTCGCAATATAATTTGAAACTGAAGAAAGAAATATGAGAACAAACGACAAAGATCGAATATATATATATAGTCAGTTTTTATCACAGATTAATACCACAAGCAGATTTACACATGAGAGGAGAATTCAGGATATCTGGATCCCATCAAAAAAAGGGTTGAACTTAAGTTTCAAACGAAGACGATATTTTATGCACTTTAATTCTGATAACAGTTAAAATCATGGAGAATCAATCTTAAAGCTGAATAAACAATCACTAAATTAAGTAATAGAAATGAGTGAATTAACAATGAAGATTCAAACTGAGTGAATGAATCATAATCATGCGATATATTATGATGTTCTCAAATTATATATAAATACGAAAAAGAAGAAGGAGAAGTGCTATCGGAAGTAACTTGTAATAGTTCAGGGTTATTATTATACTACTGATTATCGACCTTATGACTTAAATTAACTATTCGAAGATAGTTTTAATGACCATCAGAAAATTATTATTTGTTCACTTTAAACAATGAAATATTCGTTCATGTAGTTTCATTTTATGTACTCGATTCCAGCTGCTTATATGCCATAGCACAGAAATTATAGTAAGCGTACGGATTGTTTCGAAGTTATCGTGCAACTTAGACACCTTCTACAACACGTATATGGGGTAAAAGTCTATACGAATTTATATTTCTAGTTATGAAATTTCGCTCGATTTATCCCTGAGTGAGAAGGGATTTTCATACATTTAGTTAAACTCATAGGTAAGGTAAAATTCACGCCTGCAAAATATAATAGGCATTCGAAGAGTAGCCTTGTTTGCTACTGACGTAAATACAATCATTAATTGATAAAACCATTACATTTACTGATTGATAATGAAGACAATTCTATCTGTTTAGTTAATATAAGAGAATCGGTAATTGACAGTCAGTCAGTTACAACGTAGAACTTCGTATGTACTTACATTAGTTCAAATAGCTATTCTGCATTAGCACAGAGACGCAATTGTCAATTACAATCCCATAGTGGTGGATGTAGTAGGAAGTATTAGCAGTTATGGAGAAGATTATGGTTTGAAGAAATTATTCAAGAAGTACATTACAGTGAAATGTATGTTTTTTAAAAAGATGGTCATGAAAAATTCAGAATAGAGTCTCGGAGAACATAGAGAATGAATGAACCTGCGCCATTACAATCGGTTTTGAATCATGTCGTGCAACATCTCTAACAATCAGTTACTATCATCTCGCTGACCACAACCAGGTAGTCTAGGCCTACCAACACGGCCCATTCCAGTTGTAAGCAACTTTAGGGATTTGTGACATGTTTTACCCGCCTCTAGCTTTCTTCTAGCCTACCCCTACGCCAAAAAACATTGCTCGTCGGTAGTTGGGCATTCGTAACACATGTCCCAACCACCTCAACTAATGAAGTTTCAGTACTTCATCTGTTAATTTGCCGTCCTTACCTAATACCAGTTTCCTAACAACTGCACTGCTTGCTCAATTGTCCCACGATATACGAGAAATGCTTCGAAGACACCAATGATCGAATACCAGTAACCTACGAATATCTCCTACTTTTACTGGTCATCTTTCATACCCATACAGTAACAAGGAACGAACTGCTGCACAGTAGACTCATCTTTGGTTGGTAGACGGATAGCTCGCCTACACCATAAGTGACACAAGTTGGCAAAAGCCAATCAAGCCTTCCGTATCCGTGCTGAGATTTCGTCAGTCACCAGGTCATCAGCAGTGATGAGACTCCCAAGATAAGTGAAGCAATCGACACAATCACCTACTTCAATTCCTATCACTAGTTGAGGTGCCGATGCAAGACAGTCATGAAGCAATATTTCACATTTCACCGGTTGAACCGCATCCCGAACCTGCTTGCATTGTTCTTAGGGTAGTCAGATGACTCTGCATTTTGTCAGCGTCCTCACCAAGTAGAACTATGTCGTCGACATATTCTAAGTCATCAAGTGTGTCTCCTTGTAGAACGTGCACCACTGAAAATCAGACGAAGATAATGTTAAATCTAAAAGCACGTCTACGACAAAGTTAAACAAGAATGGAGAAAGTGGACAGCCCTGTAGAACAACACTTAAGGTAACCAATTCTGATGAAGTTCGCCATAAGCTCTTATCCGGCCAGTAGTCTTCGAGTAGAGAGCCGCCGGTATATGGTTAATGTACTTCGTTTAGTGACGTTTAAGCATGTCTATATTCCAGGATCTGACGTAATGTGAATATCTGATCTATGTAACCAAGTTCAGGTCGAATATCAGCCGGGTTTTCTCTTTAGTCATTGAGGTAAGAGTCAGCTAAAACGTAGAACTTCGTACGTACGCAAATCAGTTTGGGTTGTCACATCACATTGTGGACGTAAGAAGGTTATTAAGTGCAGGAAGGATTTGATTGTGATCGATTCGGTCTCGTGTGTTGTTACGGCTATGAGGGCGGTTGTCACTTACGGTTGTTCACACCGTGGAAGGATGCTTCTTGAGGAACTTGAAAAGGAAGGTAGATTAGTGTCGGTCTGAGAGAATTGTGAGCGTGACCGCAGAGCCTAAGGGGCAACTGCTTGAGGCCGGTCACGCACGGCATTTTTATGAAAAGTTTTTCGAGTATTAGCTCCGCTCTTTTCGCAGCCCTTATTGGGTAGCCCTTACCACCGGAGACGGAAATTCATGAGGCAGGGTGAGGTGACATTTTTGGGGTCGACCATTTCTAACCCCTTCCTCCCATCGTGAGAAGGCAGAATCGCTGCAGATGCGGGTTGTCAGAGAGAAGCATCTTACTGTTGTCACACCCCTCTAAAGTCAGCCGTACGACTTCTCCCTCAGACCTTGAGTAGCTGCTTTTAGTCTCGTCGTTCGCCAATGGACTTACCTGTCATGGTAGAATCTAAAGGAAAATATATTCCAGCCAATATAGCTGGGTCATCACGAATAGGTACGTCCGACCACTACGTCAAGGTAGCAGCTATGGTCGGTAGGTTATTGACCGAAGAGGAATTAGTAAACCTAACCAAAATAGATAAGTGAGTTAACTTTACTGACTTAGAATTCGAAATCGGATATATATATATGAAAAAGTATGCAGAAAATTTAACTATGAAGATGAAAAAATTAGAAAAAACTGTCAGTTAACTTTTACATTTAGTTTATAGGTTTGGTAAAGAGTTAATGATCAACTTTGAAAAAACCAAGATACTGCCATAGAATTTATTGATTCAATGGAAAAACTAATTTCGATTTCGTAGTTCAAACGACTGTAATAGTAAAATATCAGATTGGATGTGTTAGTGGAGATCGAAGAAAAATGTAAAATAATCATAAGTTACTGTACAGCATGTTACGATGTAAGACATTCTATGTGGGATTATGCTTATGACCAATAACAGTGTGAGTTGTTTCTTCTCTGCGATCATTACCATCATCATCACCAACTTCAGGAAATGTATCTGACGGTCGACCAGTACGTGAGATTAAACGAAAAACAATGCCCGAGATTTGGTGTAAATGGTTTTTTGGTAACTGAACGCCAATTAACGCCCAAGATGTAGAGATATTTGTACACGTTGACCTACAGATAGGGCATTGACTGCGATTACTATCTGAGGGTTGACAGCTGCTTGATGCTTGACCAGTAGACGATTCTGAACGTTCTGATGGTAATTTATAACCAATTCTGGCCCTGAGCAAGACCAAATGTTAGAATGGAAATAAATAAACTTGAACATATGAATGTATTTATATATCAAACTACCATTTATAAGGCTCCCTGAAACCAAATATAAGATGCACTGTATAATTCCCTCAGTCTCTGTACAGGTATCGTAACATCATATTACGTAAAACATTTTGCAACCGGTAGAATGCACGTAACAATACAACACTTTTTGAAGGGAACCTCATACGATTGGAAATTCTAGGATTTCGAGCATGCAATTCACTGAATATATGCAAATTTTCATGCCGCTATTAAGTTCAGTGGATCACATGTTTGACAAAGAGAGCTTGAAATAGATGCAAACAGGGATGATAACTAAGATTGGTTTCAAAAAAGAAACATCGATTAGCTTAATAAGTGACAAGTATACTTAGCGGTATTTGTGCAAGCGTGTAACAAACAAGACATATACGTACTTAATAATCATCGTCTAAAAAACTAAATCACTCTTAAATATATTTTCACATATACCTCAGCTTGATTGGCGAGTTAGAGTAGCAGTAATATTTTTGAAAGAAATTAAACTCTCCAAACAGATAAACTGCATTTACAGTTTATTCGAACAGCTGAGTACATATGACTAATTGATTATGAATTTCCAATCAAAACCATCAGATAAACCCATGTAAAAAATACTTCAAATATAAAGTTACGCAAATCATAAAAATTAGAGATGCAGTGTGGTCGAATTTTAATGTAATAATAAGGTACAACATTTGACGAAATCACTCTGGAATCCCTTCAAAGTTACAGCCAGATCCAAGCCCGGAGAAAGAGAAGGGTTAGCAACCCTATCCAGTAAAAAACCTTGCTACAAAAGACGTCGACTATGAAAAATCATTCTTCGAGAGTTAAAAGGTTTTCATTTAGAAGAGTCATGACACTTCGTAGTGAAAGCTTAGTTTCTTCAAAAGTTAGGATGGAGATGCCTTTTGTAACAACCAGAGAAAGAACTAACACAGGCACATGGAATTTTCGTACAATGTGGGAGGCCAGCAGAACTATCTAAGTTGCTGTGGAAATTAAGAGAGGTAATTAATATAAATGTAACTCATCACACGCAAGCTCGACAGAAATTGCTTCAGTAAAGATGCCCCGACGTAGCTGATACCTTGACGTGGTAGTCGGACGTACCTATTCGTGATGACCCAGCTATATTGGCTGGAATATATTTTCCTTTAAATTCTACCATGACAGGTAAGTCCATTGGCGAACGACGAGACTAAAAGCAGCTACTCAAGGTCTGAGGGAGAAGTCGTACGGCTGACTTTAGAGGGGTGTGACAACAGTAAGATGCTTCTCTCTGACAACCCGCATCTGCAGCGATTCTGCCTTCTCACGATGGGAGGAAGGGGTTAGAAATGGTCGACCCCAAAAATGTCACCTCACCCTGCCTCATGAATTTCCGTCTCCGGTGGTAAGGGCTACCCAATAAGGGCTGCGAAAAGAGCGGAGCTAATACTCGAAAAACTTTTCATAAAAATGCCGTGCGTGACCGGCATCAAGCAGTTGCCCCTTAGGCTCTGCGGTCACGCTCACAATTCTCTCAGACCGACACTAATCTACCTTCCTTTTCAAGTTCCTCAAGAAGCATCCTTCCACGGTGTGAACAACCGTAAGTGACAACCGCCCTCATAGCCGTAACAACACACGAGACCGAATCGATCACAATCAAATCCTTCCTGCACTTAATAACCTTCTTACGTCCACAATGTGATGTGACAACCCAAACTGATTTGCGTACGTACGAAGTTCTACGTTTTAGCTGACTCTTACCTCAATGACTAAAGAGAAAACCAGGCTGATATTCGACCTGAACTTGGTTACATAGATCAGATCACACTACGTTAGATCCTGGAATATAGACATGCTTAAACGTCACTAAACGAAGTACATTAACCATATACCGGCGGCTCTCTACTCGAAGACTACTGGCCGGATTAGAGCTTATGGCGAACTTCATCAGAATTGGTTACCTTAAGTGTTGTTCTACAGGGCTGTCCACTTTCTCCATTCTTGTTTAACTTTGTCGTAGACGTGCTTTTAGATTTAACATTATCTTCGTCTGATTTTCAGTGGTGCACGTTCTACAAGGAGACACACTTGATGACTTAGAATATGTCGACGACATAGTTCTACTTGGTGAAGACGCTGACAAAATGCAGAGTCATCTGACTACCCTAAGAACAATGCAAGCAGGTTCGGGATGCGGTTCAACCGGTGAAATGTAAAATATTGCTTCATGACTGGCTTGCATCGGCACCTCAACTAGTGATAGGGATTGAAGTAGGTGATTGTGTCGATTGCTTCACTTATCTTGGGAGTCTCATCAGTGCTGATGACCTGGTGACTGACGAAATCTCAGCACGGATACGGAAGGCTTGATTGGCTTTTGCCAACTTGTGTCACTTATGGTGTAGGCGAGCTATCCGTCTACCAACCAAAGATGAGTCTACTGTGCAGCAGTTCGTACCTTGTTACTGTATGGGTATGAAAGATGACCAGTAAAAGTAGGAGATATTCGTAGGTTACTGGTATTCGATCATTGGTGTCTTCGAAGCATTTCTCGTATATCGTGGGACAATTGAGCAAGCAGTGCAGTTGTTAGGAAACTGGCATTAGGTAAGGATGGCAAATCAACAGATGAAGTACTGAAACTTCATTAGTTGAGGTGGTTGGGACATGTGTTACGAATGCCCAACTACCGACGAGCAATGTTTTTTGGCGTAGGGGTAGGCTAGAAGAAAGCTAGAGGCGGGTAAAACATGTCACAAATCCCTAAAGTCGCTTACAACTGGAATGAGCCGTGTTGGTAGGCCTAGACTACCTGGTTTTGGTCAGCGAGATGATAGTAACTGATTGTTAGAGATGTTGCACGACATCATTCAAAACCGATTGTAATGGCGCAGGTTCATTCATTCTCTATGTTCTCCGAGACTCTAATCTGAATTTTTCATGACCATCTTTTTAAAAAACATACATTTCACTGTAATGTACTTCTTGAATAATTTCTTCAAACCATAATCTTCTCCATAACTGCTAATACTTCCTACTACATCCACCACTATGGGATTGTAATTGACAATTGCGTCTCTGTGCTAATGCAGAATGGCTATTTGAACTAATGTAAGTACATACGAAGTTCTACGTTGTAACTGACTGGCTAACAATAAAGATGCTTTTTTACTCTGGTAGTGAGAAAAAAGTTTACGTACACGCAAGTGGTTGCATTGATTTTGTCCAAATAGGTACGAAAATCTCTCTTCAGATACGAATCTTATGGACCGATAATCGACAAAGCATCCTTCAAAACAAGGTAGGGGATTTTGATCAATGTTACTCAATGCGATGGAATCACTAATGATAGCAATGAAGACAATAGAGATCAGTTCTACTCTAAAATCCAAGAGTAGAATCTCAGACTCATACGAATCAACTTCTAATAAGTCTAGTTGCAGTTAAGTAATGATATAGTAAGTAAACTGAACAGTTGGCTCACCATTTGTAAATGCATGGTTGGCAGAACGCGTGCATGCAGGCAAGAACGGTATCAGGCTCTCTATCAAAGCAGATACAACAAGGGTCATCAGACATTTCACTGGTAACATTCCTAAAGAATATATGATATACTGGTTAGAAAAAATAAGCTACTGCATCTGAGGTTGGGAATCAATCATTGACTTGAAGTGGACGATTTTATCATATAACCGCAAAAATTCAATCAGTTCAAAAGTTCTATATACTGAACGGTTTTTTTCTGACTAGTATTGTCAAGATTCATTCAAAAAGCTTACAATTCTACAGAAGACTTTGGTTGAAAATCTCCAGAAAAGATTTTGCGGTTGCTTCTTTACAAAGAATTTTACAAACGAACACTTTTCTCCGAAAGTAGAGATACACCTAAATGTAAGTGGAAAATACACACTACTTTTACAGTTGATTTAAATGAGAAACCATTTCAGCAAAGTTCTCGTAGCTGGTGTTTGACAACCTTGTGGAAAGTTGTATGCTTTGTTCGAAATTATGAAGAGACTCTTGTATAGCGAGCTTCATACAGTATCCCAGAGCTAAAAACATTATTGGATTTAACAAGAAACACACATTTCGGCAGCTGTGGCCCAGACATAATCCAAAAGAAGCAACTGAAAACAAAGAATGAGGTTTTCTAGCGAGTGGGTGGAAAAGTCAACAAACAAAGATATATGTAGGGAGCATTCACCATCAGCTGACCTGCTATCAAGTTCGTAAGAACAATCTTGGCGCTCAATTTCCAACACATACTTGAAAAGATTTTTTTGAGCATAAACTTGCAATATATATATATATATATATAATCTTTTTCACGATTCGTTTTATTTTTGTACAGTTCCAGGTGTTTGAAAGTGTCCGTTGGATGGGGGTCTAGCTACTTGACTGCACTAATTCTAATCAGTGATTTGAATGAGTACGTTTGTTTCAGGAGCTATAACGTTAACAGTTGGTTGGAATTCGGAGAATAATAAGAGGAAAACTTACTCACTTACTTATGCCTGTTGCCCTCAATGGACCATAGGCCGCCCACCAGTGTTCTCCAACCTCATCTGTCCTGGCTAACCTTTCCATTTCTGTGCAATTTTTGTTCATTCTTCTCATATCTTTCCCTATTTCTCGGTGTAATGTGTTTCTTGGTCTTCCTCTCCTCCTTTGACCTTTCAGGTTCCAAGTGAGGGCTTGTCTTTTGACGCAGTTGGGTGCTTTCCTGACTTCCTTCTCCGCTGGAATCCGGTTTGTTCTCTCCCATAGTAAGTTGTTGTTGATAGTGTCTGGCCAATGAATCCGAAGTATTTTGCGTGGACAACTGTTCATAAATACTTGTATCTTCTGGATGAACGCTTTCGTAGTTCGCGAAGTTTCCGCTCCATACAATAGAAGTGCCTTGAAGTTTGTACTGAAAATTCTGGTTTTGGTGTTTGTTGACAGTTGTTTTGAGTTTCAGATGTTCTTCAAATGTAGAAATGCATCCTTTGCTGTGCAGATCCGTGCCTGTACACCTGCATTGGATCCACCATGATTTTCGATGATGCTGCTCAATACGTAATGGTGTTAACATCTCCAAGGCATCTCCATCAAGAGTGATTTGGTATGGTAGTGGTTTAATTGGGAGTGAAGTTTGTGTGAGAGGACTGAAGTGTAAACGAAAGAAATGAAACAGATAATAGCTTAGTGATCTGAGGAGATGACTATAATAACAATTAGCATGTCTGAGGACATGCATCAGCACAGCTAATCCGCCTTCTACCTGATGTAGGCTATCGCTTCAAAAGGGTGTCATGCCTCGCAAGCTCACTTTTTCGTCTGCAATGTCATGGAATGAATGTGCTTCAGTGAGAGCTATGGTCTTCAGATACATCTGACGGCATATATTTCTGATTTCTAAGAGCTTATCCCTTAGTATTCTTACGTTGCTATAGAGTCACTTAGTGGTTTGTGTAATCAACTGGTGCACCCTTTCAGCACCAGCTGTTATCAGACCTTCGAACAAGTTGTTCAAACCTAGTTAGCCGGTCCTGTAGGAACTGGCCTCTGTAAGCTTTTGCCTGTGCAGTGCTTTGAGTCAACGAGACAATTGTCTTTGTGTCTTGTGCCAAGGATTGTTCATCGAGATCAATGTTCATTTTGGCCTCGCTGTTGTTGTTTCACAGATCTAGGTCGGCTTTCGCAAGAACACATATAGCTTGAGAGATCGTTCTTTGAGCTGTACTATCCAGAAGCGCCTTAGTAAGGTCTTCTCGATTTCTGAAGTCCTCGACGATCAGACGTGACGCTTTGATGGCCGTGAGACTTGACGGACGAGGAAGCAAAGAAATGCTAGTTTCCGTTGTGGTGTAAGGGCCCACACCATGTGATAGCCATCGCCACTGTTGCGCATCAAGTGAGTGAGCTTCGTCCAATCAAACACCTACCAGTTCGCGCACGACATGACCTGCCATACTGGTTTGGAATCGGGTGCCCCATGATTTCCTGGCTGCTTCTCATAGTGAACATGGTTTGTCGTGCCTGACTTGAATTGGGGAGGGAAACCTACTCGAGGGTCTCTGGAATGTGAGGAGGATGTCTTCAGTAATTTGTGTCGAGTCTGGGGTTGCCTTCATCAGAGGAGTTTCCTTTTTGCGATGTTCCAGTGTTTGAAAAGACCGCATGTTTTGGCTCGGGTACTGTACATTCCCAGGACTGCTCAGTACTTGTCCCATTGTTTTTTGTCAAAGGCTTTTTGTTTCTGTTCGGTCCAAGTATTTGTTAATGTCCACTGGAATGCACTAATTCTAGTCGTTTGGCAGTTCATAAGGGATGTATATGCCCTTTGATTTTATTGAACCCCACCAGTAGAACATTCGGGGCTACTGCCGGTCTCAAGCCTGGATAAAGAAGGAGGTGTGGGCATGGGGTTGGCGACCCCATCCCCTCAAAAATACTGATTCGCTTAAAAATGCCAACCAAAAAACATAATTCAAACAATTTTAACTCTGCCCTGGGAGATGAAAGAAAAATGATGACGTTTCGTGTTGAAAGTCAAGTCCCCTCGGAAGTAACGTGGCCGATGCTCCTTCTCATAACTAGAGCAACCATTCTCTTAGGTACATGGAACGTTCGTACATTGTGGGAGACTGGAAGACTATTTCAAGTTGCTGCGGAAATGAAAAAAATACAACCTGGAGGTGCTTGGAATCGGAGAAACGCATTAGACACTGGTAGGACAACTGAGACTTGGTTCATGGGAACTGCTGTTATGCTCTGGTCATGAAAAGGAAAATGCTTCACATACACAGGGAGTTGCAATGATGCTGTCCAAACAAGAACAAAAGGCAGAGATAGGATGGGAATCTCATGGACCCAGGATCATTAAAGCATCCTTCAAAACAAAGAAATATGACATTACAGTGTGCGTCATCCAATGCTATGCACCTACAGATGACTACAAAGACGACGTTAAAGATCAGTTATACGAAAGGCTGCAGTCAATCGTCGACAGATGCTCACCAAAGGATGTGGCAATTTTGATGGGAGACCTAAATACCAAAGTAAGCATGGACTATAAATGAATTTTCTACCCTAGCAGTTCACTCCGGTTCCAATAGGTGCAGGTTGGTACGCGCTGTCCCAGATCCGATACCAAAACACGATAATTCTGGGAGAAAACGGTTCTATTAATCGATAAAATGGAAATACAGACATTACCAAAACAATATTACACCTTCCAGTTCCAAATTACCGCGATGGGTATCCGTTTCTGGAAGAATAAGTGCTTCCAGTCCGTACAGTCGTTGTATCAATTCCAAATATGGCTGTAGCCATATTAAAGATCAAATTTAAACGACATATGTATAGTTCAGAAGCAAACATAAAAACTTCAATATAAGTACAAGATATAGAAATAATAACAATATACAGTGATAAAATCTCAAAATGAAATCAAATAGAGTACCAAAATGTCAATAGAAAGAGCCAGTCATATCATAACACAAATAAATATACATGGAGTGATTTTCCAAAAAAGTCATTCAAAAAGGATTCTACATGGAAAACACTGGATATGGAGACATCATGAGACGACATGGACTGGGAGAAAGAAGCGAAAATGGTGAGAGATTTGCAAACCTATGTGCCTTCAACAAACTGGTCATCAGTGGCAAAATATTCGCGCAAAAGCGCATACACAAAGCCACATGGATATCACCGGATCACACTACTCAGAATCAAATCGACCATATCTGTATCAATCAAATGTTAAGAAGGAACATGGTGGGTGTGAAAACCAAGAGAGGAACTGACATAGCCTCAGATCACCACTTTCCGGTCGCTAAAATGAAACTGAAACTGAAGAAGCACTGGACAACGGGGCAGACAACATCACACAAGTTTAATACAGCCTTTATTCGGGATACCGTCAAACTCAACGAATTCAAGATAACCCTCACCAATAGGTTCCAGGCCTTACAGGAGAACAGTTGGAAATGGATCAAGGCGGCAATCACTTCAACATGTCACGAAGTTCTGGGCCACAAGAAGTACCATCACAAGGATTGGATATCTGTTGCTACTCTTGCAAAAATTGAAGAAAGGTGGAACAAGAAGGCAGCAATCAATGTTAGCCGAACAAGAGGAGAGAAAGTTAAGGCACAAGCTGGGTTAGGTGCAGCTGTTCCTGGTGAGATTGCAATCCGTCTGAGTACGCATTTTTCAAGTCTCCGCTTGAAAATTTGGAATAATTAAACCACTAAACTACTGATATTATTAGGTGAAATAAACTTTAACGTGTTGGCAGTTGCTGAAATGCTAAATTTATGACTGGCCAAAACACCTGTGGCGAAACAGGAAATCGCAAGTAGGGTCAGTTCAATCATATATGGCCGTAAACAAGTCGCCAATCAGAGAGACTCATTTCTACATTAGACGGTCGGTCATTGATTGATCTACTTGCCATTTAATGTTGTCATGGCAAAGGATACCAAACGTGCATTAATCAAATGATTGCCATGAAATAACCCGTACGGTAGTAGTTATATTCTGCGTTTATCTAGTCTTACAAAAATATTTCATCACTAATATCATGTTTACCCTACACAAACACCAATTTAGCTATTTTAAATATAGACCAAAAGGTAGATATTAACCATAAGATATGACTTTGACATAAGATAGGAACTCATACCATCAGAGTCACACTAAGATAAAACCCGATTACCCTGGTGGGTGAAACGTACGTCTGGACTGAAAAGGTTCAATTTTGGACCTATACGCAAGCATTCTTTCAGAATTCGAAACACATTGTTGTAAATTTGAAACAGAACAGTTTAATATTGTTTAGGTAATGATCTGTAAATTTAAGTTAATAATAGAACCTTTTTTTACCCAGAAAAATTGCTTTCCGTCTGGATTAACTGGGAAAGACGCGTATCTAAACTTCTGGAACTGTTTTTCCGAATTTAGAATCCACTCTAAACCTTACAAGTGGTGATCTATATAGCGATTATTTTACATCATATTTTTCGGATGATGTAGCTCAAAATTTAAGGAAGAGTATGCCGTGAATCCACTATTATGCAGAGAACGCGATTGGTTTAATAGAAACATTCATTATTGTAACCGATTGTACCACTGATTGTTTTACTGTACTTTTTGTTGAATACACACTGTACGCGCAAACGTTCTGTCTGAGTTGCCGCCATTTTGGCTCCACTGTGTATGTAAATTCGCTCTTCTTTCCTGAAACGATTTCTGGATTCTTTCGATACCACGA